ATATATATATTATGTACGATAACGCTTGTCTCATATAAATTTGATAATGAATAAAATGTTTGATTAATTCTGACTAAATTTTTGACTGAGTTTGCAATTTCACATTGTAATTTTTACTCTCTGTAATCCAGTTTCAATCCATACCAGAACTCGACGGGACTATGGAAAGACGAATAAGATAGTTGTTTCAAACGATTTCAGTATATTTAAATTAGTAAAAATTACAACTCTGCAGACAACACCTTACAGTAACATATTAAATCTCTACACCTCCCCATACCCATCCCTGCAGTTCCTTGAGTATTGAAACCCTTACACAACCACCAATAGTGTCGCAGTACAAAGAATCAGATTAATTCAAACCTAATACATATACGTAATAAAACCAACCCGCGTCTATTTTTGGGGGTTCGCACTCTGACTCGCTCGTAGGACATAAAAAATCACTGCACGAAAACACGTACATTTTATCGGTAGAACCCAGCACCTTGCACGAAGGAAGATTTTCATACCTGCTCGTCTGCCTGTTCGATGACTGTAAACTATTATTGAACTAGTCGCCAGCATCAGATATATCATGAAATAATGGGATCATGCCACTGCAATGATAACGACATAAAAGCAAGTATATGATGTAAAAAATGGTGATATGGTTTCTTGAGAGAGTAATAGATATAGAGAGAGGGAGAGAGCGAGAGAGAGATACAGTGTGAGATAGCATGAGAAAGAGAGAGAGAGCGGGAGAGCAAGAGAGAGACAGCGTAAGACAGTGAGAGAGAAAGAGAGCATGAGAAAGGGAGAGAGAGAGCACGAGAGAGTGAGAGGTGTGTGTATACTATAAGTAGGCAGTGACATACCGATGTAGGCGCGTGCGAGACTGAAGGAGAAATCTCGCGCCGCCGTCGTCAGCTCATCCATGTGTCCGTGTGCGAAGTCAATGCTACCCTGCGCTGCCATATCCACCGTGCTGCACGCCTCTCTCAGCGCCTCCACCTCCCTGCGACAGGGTACAAGGCGAGATGACGACATCGTGAGCCGTAGCAGCGAGTGACGGTCGCGGCGAGAGAGTAAACAAGTGAACAACACGAGGTAACGCGGTTCCGTCACCGCTGCACGCCACCGACGCGGACAAATCTACCGATCTCTGCTGGCCTGGTAGCTCTAGCCAATCAGGGTTGTGACGGGATGTTACGAAAACGATGATTAGTGGCGTTGTGTAGCAAAGTCGACACTTTCGCGTTCGCGTGTGAAAAACAAAACATGTAAGAACTTCCAACACTAGTGCCACCTAACACGCCCAACACTAATAAACAGAAGCAACACTAACGTTAAGACGAATGTTAAGACCGGTGTTAAGACTAATTTTGTTTATGACAACGAGCCCCTGTTAATCTATACGAGTAAGGTTAGTGATGGAGACGCGGAGGGGGTGGGAGACTGTTGATGGGGGGAAAGAGTTACCTGGCAGGCTCCAGACGCGCGTGGATGTCATCCATGAAGGCATGGAGCGTGCTGCCGCGGGATTTCATCAGACACCGAAGCACATCCAGTGAAAGCACGTTAGTTGTTCCCTCCCAGATGCTGAGGACCTGCAGGGCAAAAGTCAACGCTAAAGTCTGCTACGCCACGAGAACGCGCGATCAATACCCAGCACAGATGGCACAACCGATGGTACGAATGACAGTACATTAGTACCGAAATATTGCAAGGATCTGAAAAGATGGCAGCAGAGCAGGATGGCAAAATGGCAACAAAGCAAGATGGAGAATAGATATTTATATAAATATATAAATAAATATATGCGCAATCAATAAAACAGTGAGCAGCAATGGTGGGAAGTGGTGCGCGGCCATTTGCGGCGACACACGTTCGCTTGTTTTTGCCGCCGTGACGGCACAGATAAACAAATACCTGAGCATCCCTGAAGAGCGTCGGTAGACCCGTATCCTCCATGAAACCCTGGCCGCCAAAACTCTCCAGCCCCTCCGAAGCTACCTTCATCGCCTAGGTAATGACGCAAAGACAAGAGAACGTTAGATAGAAACTCCCGACCGCGTGTAGCGCACAGCTAATGAATGAGAAAAGGATGGACTGTCAAAATGATGTAGATGAAGCAAAACACGGACATATCACCTCGATTACAGACGAAGCAGGTCATATTAGCGATATATAAGAGATATATATATGAGATATACAAGAAGAGCACTATTAGAATTATGTGATAGTTATTACAAGTTTTAGCATTAAATGCAGGTTTATATCGTGCGGGAATCCAGCGCTCTGCCACACACCATCGCCCGTGGTCGACTGCCAAGAACACAAGCCTCGTGTCACCTTCCCCCTACCCTTCCCACCCCCACCCCTCTTGGCCTTCACTTGACCTACGGTGAGATAGCTTCGCGCCTCACACACCTGCTTGGCCGTGTAGAGCTTTACTAGCGGCGTGAGGATTCGCAGCATAAGCATGTCGTGGTCGCTGGCGCCACCTACGTCGTCGAGTCCCAGCAGACGCCCGACCTCCATGACAAGCAGAAATGCGCCTCGTGTCTCCACCTGGTGGCACGACGTGCAAACAAAATCACGATGCTGTCACGAGGATATTTTACGCTATCACGAGATTTGTGAAGTATATATATATATATATAATATATATATAATTATACATTAGAACCCGAAAACTAACCCAAAAAATAACCCTAATAGAATTTAAAACCGGTCGTCGACCCGAAACGAAATCTTCTTCAGTACCTCAAGTCTCGCTAATGTTTGCATGTGCAGCGGATGATCACAGATCAGCTTGCCGAATGCTGTTCTCTTGGTACTGTAGTCTCGCGACAGACTGATCATCCTGAGTGAACAACGACAGCAGCAGCGACAGCCATTAATTAATGATCAATGGCTAACGATCGTACATCATCATCGTTGTCGTGTGTCAACTACAGTTGGGTCACGATCAGTCAAGCAATAAATAGTTAGTAATCGTTAACTCCTTGAAGCTACGAGTGTACTATAAATCTACGATTATGTATTCAAAAATGAGCCTACCATAAATTGTGCATGCAAGTCATGAGTACACTACGAAACAATGACTGTAAATATAATACATATGAACTCTTAGCTTACTATAAAATGTTTATAGTTATTACTGTATAAATACTGTTACAAAACTATGATTGTGAACGTAAATATCATCAACTTCAATATTATATTGTCCGACGACAGCATAAATTCCGCTTGGCAGGATTGTTAAACGACAAACTTATCACATATTTATCTATCTTATCACACTAGAAGGAGGCACGTGTCAAGGACAGAGTTTGTGAGGATGAATGATAGGGATACATGTATACCAGCCTTTCCACGTATTCATTCCATGATTGTGATATTTTATTCTAACAGCACTAACCACAGATATGATTTCAAAAATCGTTTTCGTTGCCTAAATATTATCATAAATCGCATAGATGCACATCTTACACAACTTATCTCATATTACAAATAAATGATAGCATTCCACACACTACCATGGTCTATTCTGATCGAATATCGATTGACAGGACACAGTAAATGATCACATCTCACTCGTAAAAGCAGCAAAATTAAAATGAGACGCACGTGCTCATTCTCTTAGACCTCACCTGCGCATTCCTGCGACGGCCGATACACTGTTATGCAGTCGCGTTATTGTCAACATTGGCACGATGCCAAGTACTCCGCTTCCCTCCTCGCCCACCTACGAAGCCACAACCATGTGTTAAAAAACCTGCTGATCTCTGTAAGAGTGTAAACTTAGTGTAGTTTATGTTTACTCTTGGTTCACCCTGTATGATAAATGTATAGCCTGTACAGTGGCGCCATCTACAGTGAAAAATAAACGGGAACATATCAATCCGCCCACCGTGTAATGAAACCGTAGTGTTGTGTGTTTCCTTCTCTCCCGCGTCTACCTTCGTTACTATGACTGCCCAATCAACAATCTCACGCTAGTACATGACGGCGAGAAGGAGAGAAGAAATGCAGTGAGAAATAGGTAATTAGTGAGCATTTGGAATGAGGGAAAGAGGGAAGGAAAGGGAAAATGGGAGAGATACAGACAGAAAAGGGAGATTAGGAGAGAGAGAGAGGGAGAGAGAGAGGAGCAAGAGAGAGAGAGAGAGAGAGGAGAGAGAGAAAAGGGAAGGAGGGAGAGGGGAGAGTGAGTGAGTGATATATGCAATGCCTGGCCGCTATTTGACACATATTAAATATTGAAAATGTACCTTGTGAGCAACAGCACCATCTAGTATCAACTCTGCAGTCGGCAGTTGTCTGGTGCCTAACTTGTCCTTCAGGCGTTCAACTGTTATGTTATTCAGCTTGCCGGATTCATCTCTGGTTTCCAGGTAGAAGAGAGATAGACCCTTCGAACCTTTCTTAACGAGAAAACAAGGCTTTTAAGCTATAGTCAATTTGTCTAAAAAGTTTCACAATCAAATTCATTTGATGTAAAATCAACCCAGGACATATTGTGTATGTGTGTGTACATACATACATGCATGCATGCATGCACACGTATGCATGTGTGTATGCGTAGATGTGATTGTGAGTGTGTAAGCATGGATGCGACTGTACTTGCGTGTACATACATGCGTGCGTGCATGCACCCATGAGTGTGGCGCGCGCGTACCTAGACGTGCAGGCGTGATTGTTTGATCAGATTTCAGATCGTCACCACTCTGACTTCCATTTCATTTTTCGGAGCAAACATAGATCAACCATCATTCCTAATCATTCACGGTTAGCAGCATTTATATCTAAACAAACTCAACTAGGTATTTACCAAACTGATTGCTATCACAACCTTCTTTTTACAAATATTTAGCAAGTCCAAAGTCAGTCCAACTAGTGCAGTTGCCGTGACGACGAGTGCAAACAATCACGAATCTAATCACATTTTACTCTCAGTGTATAGTAAACATAAATTTCTCGCACCGTCTAAGCACACCACATTCGTACCTGCAACTAAGTTGGAATAATAAGGTCATTGTTAGAAACATTGCAGCTCTATGACAAAGACTACTTGGGGACGTCACATAGCTGACCCAATTTCTCTGGGGAGGGGGGGGGAAGCCACGTGGGGGTTGTGTTCTGGACAGGTGACCGCAGTCAATTCGGCAGTGACCACCTCTGGAAGAGGAACTGCCCCCCTGCCCTCCTTACAAGCTATGACCTCGCTTCATAAACACACGACTAGTGCTACTAAAGGACGTGGAAAGAGTTAGGCCCAAGGAATAATGGCTAAGACCATAGACAACGTTAGGAACCCAAGTATTCTCCCCACAACCCCTACGATAGCACACTACAACATTAGTATATGTCCATGCACCGAGGCAGCCTGTAAAAATAAGCCCACTCGCGAAAAATAGCAAGAGCGCATGCAAGCGCCAATCTCAACCCCTGCATGTTTGTAATGGCAGCACCCTTGAGTCTCACTAGCTCCACCAATTCAGCCCTTCGCTCCGCCACGGGGGCTACACCAAAAAATATCCAGGAAACGAATACTGAATCTTAGCTCACTAGCACATATGTTATCTCTATTTCAATATGGATGCAGATCAGTGATGCAGATGTTTATCATACAATCGTTTGCATTCCACAAATGACTCAATTTGGCGACTTGTTAACTCAAGTTAAGGTGAACTGAGCTTGAACTTTGAGTGGCGAGGCTAAAACCAACGCGTTAATCTTACGATTACGATTTATCTTGCTGGCGAGGATAATGTTTTTCTCGTACTGCACGCTGCGGCACGGCAAACCAACCTGCAAAGACCTGCCACCTTCCCCCCACGTACTTTCTCCACATCGTGGCAGAGCGATAGAGCTAGCCTTCCACCTGTTCTCTCACGGGCTTTCCTTTCTCTGCATCAGCCAGAGCGATAGAGCTAAGACCTTTTCCCACCTGTTCCTCCCACCCCGATTCCTTCTTCTTGAATCGTGGCGGAGCCGATAGAGCTGCTTCCCCACCTGTTCCTCCCACGCTTCCTTCTCCGCATTGGGCGGCGCGGAGGTGGGGCCGGGGGGGGGGCTGGGTTGGGGTGTGGGTTGGGGTGTGTCGTGCGAGCTCACCTGACTGCACCCGTGGCGGAAGCGAATAGAGTGGCTTCACCTGTTCCTCCACGCTTCTATCTCCGATCGTGACAGAGCGAGTAGAGCTTAGCCTTCCCACCTGTTCTACACGCTTCCTTCTCTGCATCAAGCGGGGATAGATGCTAGCCTTCCCAACCTTGTTCCTCTCCGCGTTCTTCTCTGCATCGCAGCCAGGAGCTATAGAGCTAGCCTTCCCACCTGTTCCTGCCAACGCTTCCTTCTCTGCATGCGTGCGCGAGCATAGAGCTAGCCTTCACCTGTTCCTCCCACGCTTCCTTCTCCGCATCGTGGCGAGCGTATAGAGCTGCGCTTCCCACCTGTCCTCCCACGTTCGTTCTCCGCATCGTACGAGTGAATAGAGCTAGCCTTCCCACCTGTCTCCACGCTTCCTTCTCCGCATCCCAGCGGAGCGATAGAGCTAGCCTTCCCACCTGTTCCTCCCACGCTTCCTTCTCCGCATCGTGGCGGAGCGATAGAGCTAGCTTCAACCTGTTCTCCACGTTCCTTCTCTGCATCCCAGCGGAGCGATAGAGCTAGCCTTCCCACCTGTTCCTCCCACGCTTCCTTCTCCGCATCCCAGCGGAGCGATAGAGCTAGCCTTCCCACCTGTTCCTCCCACGCTTCCTTCTCCGCATCGCGGAGTGTAGAGCTTAGCCTTCCACTGTTCTCCCACGCTTCCTTCTCCGCCATCCCAGCAGAGTGAATAGAGTAGCCTATCCCACCTGTTCCATCACCACGCCTTCCTTCTCACATCCCCCCCCAGCGGAGCGATAGAGCTAGCCTTCCCACTGGTTCCTCCGCACGCTTCCTTCTGTCCAACATCCCAGCGAGCGACTAAGAGTTAGCCTTCCCATCTGTTCCTTCACGTTCACTTCTCTGGCATCGCCAGCAGGTGATAGAGCTAGGCCTTTTCCCACCTGTTCCTCCCACGCTTCCTCTCCGCATCCACAGCGCAGCGAGCGATAGAGCTAGCCTTTCCCATCCTGTCCTCCCACGCTTCCTTCTCACATCCCCCCAGCGGGGTGATAGAGCTACGCTTCCCACCTGTCCTGCACATCTCCTTCTCCGCATCCAGACGCGCGTGATAAGAGCCTTCCCACCTGTTTCTCCACGCTTCCTTTCTCCGCCATCCAGCAGGAGTGATAGAGCTAGCCGCCCCCCCCATTCCCACCTGTTCTCCCACGCTTCCTTGCTTCACATCCTTAGCGGAGCGGATTAGAGGCTAGCTTCCCACCTGTTTCCTCCCACGCTTCCTTCTCCACATCAGCGGAGCGAATAGAGTATAGCCTTACCATTCTGTTCCCTTCACGCTTCCTTCTCTGAATCCAGCAGAGTGATAGAGCTAGACCTTCCACATGTTCCTCCACGCTTCCTTCTCGCATTCCAGCAGAGCGATTTAGAGCTAGGCCTTCCCACCTGTTCCTCGCACGCTTCCTTCTCCGCATATGGTGGAGCGATCAGGCTAGCCTTCCCACCTTGTTGCGTACCCCCGCTTCCTTCTCACACCCGCGGAGCGATAGAGCTAGCCTTCCCATCCTGTTTCCTCCTTTACCTTCACTTCTCTGCATCGTGGCCGGACGCGATAGAGCTAGCCTTCCCACTGTTCCTCCACGGCTTCTTCTCCGCTCATTCGTAGCGGAGCGCATAGAGTAGGCCTTCCCACCTGTTCCTCCCCACGCTTCTTCTCTGCGATCGTCGGCGAGCGATAGAGCTAGCCTTACCCAACCTGTTCCTCCACGCTTCCCTTTTCTCTGCATCCCAGCGGAGCCGATGAGTAGCCTTCCCACCTGTTCCTCCCTCGCTTCTTCTAAGCATGTGCGGGTGATAGATGCTAGCCTTCCCATCTGTTCCTTCCCCGCTTGCTTCTCCGGCATCCGCGGAGCTGGAATAAAGTTAGTCCTTCCCACTGTGTTTCCACACTTCCTGTCTCGTGCACCAGCGGAAGTGATAGGGAGCTAAGCCTTACCCACCTTGTTCTCCCCACACTTCCTTCTCCGCATCCCAGCGGAGTGCTAGAGCTACCTTCACCACCTGTTTCCTCCACAGCTTTCTCTTCTTCGGCATCTTCCACGGAGCGATAGAGCTAGGCCATTCCAACTGTTCCTCCCAGCTTCCGTTCTCGCGCATCGTGATCAGCAAAGCGATCGAGAGTGTCTTCCCACCTTGTTACTCCCACGCATTCCTTTCTTCGGATCCAGCGGGAGCCGATTTAGAGCTAGCCTTCCCACTCGTTCTCTCCCACGGCTTCCTTCTCCGCATAGTGACAGACGCGATAGAGCTTATTTCTTTCCCACCTGTTCCTCACACGCTTCCTTTCCTGCATCCCAGCGGAGCGAATAGAGCTGCCTTCCACCTGTTCCTCCCACACTTCCTTCTCCGCATCAGCGGAGTGAACTGAGCTGCCTTCCCAGGGCCATGCTTCTCCACACTTATTTCTCCGCAGTCCAGCGGTGTGAGTGAACGGCTAGCCTTCCCTTGTTCCTCCCTCCGTCCTTCTCCGCCATACGTGGGAACGGAGCGATAGAGCTAATCTTCCCACCTGTTCCTACGGGCCACCCGCTATTCCTTCTCTGCATGCCCAGCGTTCAGCGCATAGAGCTAGCTATCCACCCTGTTCCTCCACGGCTTCCTTCTCCGGCAATCCAGGCGGAGCGATTAGAGCTGCCTTCCCACCTTGTTCTCCACACGCTTCCTTTCTCCGCATCAGGGGCGATAGAGGCTAGCTGTCCACCTGTTCTCCACGTCTTCCTTCTCCGCATCCGCGAGCGGATAGAGCTAGCCTTCCGCACTGTTCCTCCCGCTTCCTCTCCGCATCCCAGCGGAGCTGATATAGACTAGCCTTCCACCTGTTCTCCACGCTTTCTTCTAGCATCGTGGCGGAGCGATAGAGCTTAGCCTTCCCACTGTTCCTCCCACGCTTCCTTCTCTGATCGTGGCGGAGCGATAGAGCTAAGCCTTCTCGTTCGCTTTTCTTATGTTCGTGGCTTTTAGAGCCGATAGACTAGCCCTCCAACCTGTTCCTCCACGCTTCATTCTCACTTCTAGACTAGTCTTCCACTGTTCCTACCCACGCTTCCGTTTCTCTGCATCCCAGCGGTAGCCGATAGAGCTAGCTTCCACCTGTTCCTCCCACCGCTTCCTTCTCCGCATACGTGCGAGAGCGATGGAGCTAGGCCGTTCTCCGCTCTTTCCTTCTCGCTTATTCGTGGCCGGAGCGTGGAAGAGTGCCTTCTCTACGTTCCTTTCTCCCTTTCGTGGCCAGGAGCGATTAGAGCGCCTTCCACCTGTTCTCCCACGCTTCCTTCTCTGCATCGTAGCGGAGCAAAGCGCTGCGCGTGTAGAGACAGAGCTAGCTAGCTTTCTCACCTGCTTCGGCCGGTCGTCAGCGTCGGCGACCCTGGCGAGAGTGAAGGCCATGTTGGCGTCGGTGGCCGACGTGAACCACTTGTATCCGTAGAGCCTGAACGATCCGTCGCGGTGCGGCTTAGCCAGCGTCTCTGTTCCCGTTCCTGCGAACGGAGCGACGGATCAGCATTCGTGTTCCGTGTCACGTTGGGATCGGGATTTCAATGATGGTTTTACGATTAGGCTTAGGGTTAAGGTTAGGAATAGGTTGGGGACAAGGATTAGGGGTTAGGGTTAGAGCTAGGTGAGGTTATGGTTAGGGATTAGGGTTAGAGCTAGGTGAGGTTATGGTTAGGGATTAGGGTTAGGTTATGGTAATAATCAGGAGGTTATGGCTAGGTTAGGCTTAGTGAAAAAAATAGGGAGAAGGGATTATGGTGATGGTTAGGGCTAGGATTAGGATTATGGTTAGGGTTAAGATCAGGGTCATGGTAAGGGCCATAATCAGGTTCAGGGTAATGGTTAAAGTTAGGATTAGGGTTAGAAATAAGGCTAACGTCAAGGTTAATGTAAGGGTTGAAATTAGGGTTCAGGTTAGGTTTAGGGTTAGGGTTATGGTTAAGGTCAGGCTCAGTCTCATGGACAGTCATGGTCATGATCAGGGTCATGCTTAGGGTTAGGGTTAGCATTAGGGTCAAGGTCAGGGTTAGGGTTAGCATTAGGGTCAAAGTCAGGGTCAGGTTAACAACGATAATGATTTACGTGCCAACGACACCCACCGACGTCTGACCCTCCCTGTCGCTCGGTCATCCACTGTCCGGACGTCCAGAACCTTGCCGGGTCGCGCGACGTCAGCCTCTCGAACGCTCGCTCGAGCGACGCCGGCCGCCCCGCCGTCTCCACGAGCTTAGCGGCGCCATCTGTCATCGCGAGCGGGCAGCTGTAGAGTCCGGACGACGGCGCGTACAGGTAGAGCTTCGCGAGCTGGTGAAGCCTGCTCCACGCGCCGTGGCTTCGCTCGTACGCCGCCGCCACGAGACCCTCCTCCGCGGCGACAGCGTGCTGGCGCCGCCATGCCGCGCACGTGGCAACGTCGTCGGTGCGCCGCCCCCAGGCGGCATAGCGACGCAGCGAGGGAGGCTGCGTCTCGCATTCCCGGCCGAGCGCGTCGATCTCCGCGACGACGCGTCGACCGAAGCGATCGAGGTCGGCGACGACGTCGCGGTGCACCTGCAAGTTAGTAGATACAGGTGTGTATAGGTGCAATACTGGTGTGTGCAGATGCAATACAGGTAAATACAGGTGTAATATAGGTAAAAACAGGTGCAATACTGGTGTGTGCAGATGCAATACAGGCGTGTGCAGGTACAATACGGGTGCATGCAGGAGCAATACAGATACAGGTGTAAATACCGTAATACAGGCAAAATTTATACAGGTGTAAGTACAGGTACGTGTAGATCTGCATAATCTACGCTCAATAGTCACCTCGGGCGGTAGAACCCGTTGAAGATATCTCTGCAGATATTGGTCATCTTTGAAAGGATTGTGCAAGGTGGGCTGCTCCTGAAAAAACGGCCCTATTCGTGCCGTAGCAAACGGAAAGCCTCCAGGTGTTTGTTTACTAACAGCAATACTGTCGTCTGGCATTTTTACGTCACTGGTTGGCTGAGCCTCGTTTTCGACAGTAGGCGTTGATGAAGGTCCAACCGTTGTCAGCGTTTTCCACGATTTGGTGCCATATCGCAAATAATAACGTAAAATCGAGCAGGAAAACATATTCTTTCGCTACTGAAAGAAGAAGCTTTCCTTTTGCTGTGTCGCTTGCGATGGAAACGCCTCTAGTAGTAGGAATTAATATTTAGACTGACACCTCACAAGCCGTGGCTGCCTTCTAAAATGTTTTCAGTATGAAAAAAGGTTTGTGTAGTCAGTCTAGACCAAAACATCGTAGTTCTAGATTTTCTCACTACGTAGCAGCACTAACAAGCGGTGGCGTTTTGTTGTTTATATTTTGTATAAATCTCTGTATATATTATAATTTCGTGGAAATGGGGAAGAAACAACATCAATCGGATAAGTTGTATGTTTAAGCGCGTATTTTACCATGTTTACTTTGAGTTCGAATGAAGTAATACACGACTCGAGTAAAGTTGCCATGGCATACGCATTATTCCTAGGCCTTATTCGCACTGGCACTTAAATTCTTAATTGCCACTGGCTACCACTGGCAGCAAGATCAAGCCCGCACGTACAGCACACACGCGGCGCCATTGACTATATATATACAACAATGTATATATATAGTTGTATATATATAGTCATAGGCGGCTGCGTGTGTGCGGTACGTGCGCTTGAGTCTTGCGTGCAGTGCCGCGGATACGCGTCCGGAACCCCCCCCCCTCCTCTCTCTGCTCTCTCTCTCTCTCAACTTACTCTTTGGGCACATAGCCACACACCAACGCCACACGCGCCGCCAGCGCGCACAGCTACTCTCGTCAATCGCCTCTCAATCCTCTCTCTCCTCTCTGCACAGCAACACAGCACAGCTCTTCGTCTCTCTCTCGTCACACGACAGCACTCGATGCCGCCCACCTCTCGGATGCTCCTCTCCATCTCTCTCTCTCTCTCTCATCTCTCGTCCCTATCCTCATCCTCTCTCTCGGCTCTCTCTCGATCTACCTATCTCTCTCCGTCCGCTCTCGTCTCTCACTCCCTCCCACATCCCTCCAATCTCTCCTCTCTCTCTCTTCCTCTCTGACCTCTCTCTCTCTCTCTCGGTACTCGTCCTCGTCTCTCGTCCCGATCACATCACCGAGACGAAGTTCGTAGAGGCGAAGGAGAGATCAGACGCGGCAGACGAGCCGCGGCGAGTGGACGGGAAGGGCGTAGAGCGGCGTGAGTGGTACGGGTCGGGCGGACGACAGGCGGCCAGTGAGCAAGTTCGTTCGACCGACGCGGCAGAGGCCTGCTTGGACCGAACGTGACCTCTCGGCGTCCAGTTCGGCTTTCCCCCGGGCGGTGTGGGTCAGGGGCCACACCTCTCTGAGCGCCTCTCTCTCGCTCTCTCTCTCACCACACAGTCTGAGCGCGGGATGAGACAGGGGTGCCACACACCTGTCGCGTACTCTGCAGCGCTCTCTCTGAGTCCTTCCACTCTCTGCCTCACCACACACACGGCAATCAGCAGAGCGTCCGCATTGCGGCAATCATGCCGTGACGTGTCAGCACTAGCTCACTGTGTGAGATCGATGTCACGACTGCGTAAGCCACAGGCCTAACTATAAACATGTCCACACATGTCAGCACAGTGACATCCACGATGGAGTGGACTGATATGTATCACATTATCATGATCATGTCCATATCTGATTCGTAGTCCCAATGAGAAGAACCACTGCTAAATACTATAGTATGGCGCCCACCCCGTAAGTAGTGCACCACCGATGTTAGTTAGCACATATGCAAAAACACATTGCAGGTTCCCAAACTATCTAAGTATCTTTGATCCAAGTTATGTAGTCAGTTCAGCGTCTAAAAATCGAGGAGGCAACCTTTGAAAATCCCGGCGCAAGCGCAGAGATAGAATTAAATATCGTGGGCTTACATAATATAATTTTTCTAAACTAGTCAGTGTATCACATTTTATTATGCGTTCTGAAACTACTGGATAGATTGCAGCCAAACCTATACATTGTTTTGAACAGGGTCTAAGGTAGCGATGCAGCGGGAAATCGGCGAAAAAACAATCGGTTAGGAAACATTTGCGCAGATACCGTGAGGGGGGCGGAGGCGCCCACCGGAGGGCCCGCGGGCGCCGGCTCGCAGCGGGCATCCGCGGGGGGGGGGCGCCGCCCTATTTTCGGATTTGTTCAACATGGCCGACCATACAGAATACCGATCATTGGCCGGCGGCGGGGGCGCCGTCCCACTGCGTGCGCGGCGCGTCTAATCGACACCCGGGGCCGCCCGGGGGCTAAAAACTTTTTTAAATATGCTCAGATCCTATGTTGCAGGGACAAGAATGCCATTGGTTACGATAACCGAGACGTTGCTAACGTGCAAATCACTCTGGCGGTATTTTTTCGAGGAAATATTGTTATGAAGACAAAACAAAATGCCATTAATGAGTTAGCATATATCGCGTTCTTGCAAGTCAATTAAAGCGCCAGCACCCGCGTTAGGTTGCGTAATCAGATCGAGCTTCTGATCTATTCAGATCAAAAGAGATGGAGAAACAGAGCCACATCCACAGTTGGGGCAGGGTTCAAATCACTCGGTCACTGGCCATGTCTGACCCCGTCGCGTATTACCAACGCTGGCTGCCAGAGACTGGCACATAAGGCCTATCATGCTGCGCGGATTCTGGCAAGCATCGAATTTGAAGACTTGTCGTCTGGTGGAGAGATACCACGAGCAGTGACTTCTTCGAGGCATCGCACATGTAGCAACAGTTACTAGGGAGTCGAAGGAGACTTGATCTGTAAAGAAGCAAGTATGTCCGCCAGATCGGTGGTGAGCTACATGCTGTGATGGCCTGGCGCTGGAGGGAGCTTGGGAGACGTCCATTAGAAAGACTCAGATAGTATTGAGTGCGCGTGTCCACACGTCTGGAGCAGTATATCGCGCGGCGACGAGACGCGAGGGGGGGGGGCGGGGGGCGGGGCACTGGGGGGAGGCGGCGGGGGCGGGGGGGGGGCGCCTGCACGTGGCGGGGCTGCCCGGGGGGGCCGGATTGGGCGGGAACGGGAGCGGAAGGCCGGGGCACGACGGCCAGGCAGCGCCAGGAAGCTCCCTGCAAGTCAGCGCGGGACAGCCGCGGAGGCCGGCCTGCGCGGACCCGACTAGCGCGCCGATCTCAACTGAGGACAAGAGCCAAGCGCCCTCGGCCGGCGCGAGCGAGAGCGAGCGCCGTCGTAGGTGCTCTCAGTAGATTGCACTTGTTCTGGAAAGTTCTTCGACAGAGACAGAGCCCACAGCAGCGTTAAAGCCATCGCTGGCGTCGGAGGAGGAGCAGGCAGCATAAGGATGTCACAGCCGAGGAGAGAGGAGTCCTAGAGAACGCGAACGCCGTCTGTGCAAAATGTCAGGCGAAAACGCTCGCCACCAGTAAACCTGCAAATCCCGAAAGCGGGACAAGGACCAATGACGATCGTATACGCTTACAGTAACCCTTCTCACTAAACTGCGTACGTCATTCAACCCAGCTAAAATGGGAAAGCGCAGAAATCCCTTCAGATGCATATGTGTCAAAGTCTTTGATGAACTACATCCACCGGGTTGAAATCCATCTTGCTGCACTTTGTTGAGGCATCCAGGAATTTCCAATCTGTTCTCCACCGCCCTTCAAGCTGGCGGAGGCACTAAGCAAGTTTATCCTCGCCAGTGGACTCGCAGATAAATAATACAAGCGCCTCAGTTGCCCACGTTAAGCTCCCGCAAAGGACTTTGCATCAGTGAAGAGAAGCCATCCAAGAAAACCTGAGTAAACTACAAGAACGGAAAACATATGCTGTGACCAGAGTACGATCCCATTTGTCTCGATTGGAGCAGTATTAACTGCATAGTAATGCAACTCAAGCAGGATGACTGAAAGATACCATTGAATCGGTATAAATTGGCAATTTCCAATAATAGGCCCAACGCTCGTGTCGAAACGGGTCTTCTTGGCACTGCGGCCTGAAGATGTGACGGTTCCTTCCAGCTGAATTCATAGGGCCAATTGCAATTTGCTGTAACACAAGCCAAACAATACAGCTCATGATGCAAGTACCAAGTGCTGTTGAGAAAAGCGCATTGGCGACAACGTTGAGGTTTGCGCATAAAGCCTGATAGTTACGAGTCAGCGGCATTCCTTCGAGCTGCTGAGTGACGGCATCACGCGCTCTACAACTGTCATCAGCAGCATACCATAGTGTCGCGCACAAGCGAGAGTGTTCTCACAATCCTGAATATCGATCGACACTGGGCAGAAGCTAGTATGTGGGATTACTGCAGAACGCTATTAACTGGAGAGTCAGCTTGGGCAGCAGTCAAGACAGCAGCAACAAGGACAGGATGTAACATGTCAGGGAAACAACGAACAAACGGTAAATGAACCGTGACACAAGTCAGTAGGAATCTAGAAACTGAAAGATCTTTACGGTCGATTGAGGTACTAAAGCCAGATCAAATCGGTCGTGACATCGGACAGAAGCATGGCGATTGGGAACGCTACTTACTGAGTTCCACTCATTGCACCCCCAGAGCTACTGTTTGCACCCGATCGGTTGTCGACTTCGCCTACCGCGATGACTGACAAGTGCAAAGCCTCTACGCATAGCCTTTGAACAACTTTGGTAATAATCGACAGAAATTCATGCTGATTGACAGCAAGCAGCAGAACAGCAACAGAACAGGCTAATGATATTGCTGATTACAGGAACGCCATCTACGATCACCAAATCTATGAAATGCTGTTGGTTCGATCCGGAATGGTGGCTCCGTGGCGCGCAAGATGACAAAGAAACAGCGACAAATCACACAGAGTCAAAGATCTCGGTCCAGGCATTTCAAACGACCACCGATTATGAACATGACGCAGGACTCGACGTGATTATCTCGTATTTCGACACATAGCAAGGCCAGACTCATAAAGCAGAAAACCACAGAGAGGAGAACCGACGACAAATCTGAAAGGCAAGACCGCGCTGTTCAATACCAGATTTGCAGATATAAACAGAACATCAACACATAGCCAATGGGGCCTCGCTCGCTACTCATCGAAAAGACGAAAGCTGATATGAACGATACCTTTGGCGATGTGATGCAGGCGCAAGCACTGGGATAGGTAACGCAAACCCCCTAAGGATTAAGAGACATCGACACGTGCAGCGAGCGAGGCGATAAACTAGAATTCGACTGAGAGCCAGACATGGCACTGTGGACGACCACACAACCCACTGCAATATACGAGATGTGAGACTCCGGGACACTCAAGATCTGTCTATCTCATTATTCTTTTTCGGCTATCCTCGAACTTTATCGTTTTTCAGAATCAGCAGGTCTAGCCTTATGCATACTCCACTCTTCAGATTACATTACGATCTCTAGTGTCTCGGCTGTGCCTATTGCTCTTTTATTTTGAGCCACCTGTGAGATCTCTGCAAATACACCACTGCGGATGGCGCCATGTGGACCGCAAGGTATGATGGAGGTAGGGCCATCTGGAGAGCCGCTTAGAAAAGACAATTAAGGCACAGCAGCATACCTGTATTCCCACTCATTCACTTGGGGCAAGACAAATGCCCGGGTCGACTCTCAGGAGTCCAGGTACAGAGAGAAATGGGCTTCAACACAATACTCCAGGCTGTAAAGAAAACATCAGTCAAAGCAACTACAACTCCCACGGAAAGAGCAACGATGCTAGACGCAGGAGGGTGAAAGCACATAATTGGGCGCCAGCTTTGTATCTCTAGAGCCGTACTGGCGTGCAACAGTAATTCCAGGATCGGGCACAAGTACCCCTACCTACAGTATGCAATCTGTTTGCCAAACCATCGCGCAAGGAAAGTACAAGTTGCCTGCCAACAACTGTGCCCTGAGGAGCATAATCGATACGTTGCGGAGTACACGAGTAGGAGTTTGGTGACCAGCCACCGTCATGTGCAAAACATGATTGTTTGGACCACTGCAAGACATGGCTACCAATCAGGACGCAAGTGCACAACTACCTAATGCACCACACAAAGGTTCTAACCCCCAGCTACGCCACAGCTATGGTCGAGTTAGCAGATGTCATTGCTAAAGCTCACCATTCTCTTCACGTCCTAGAAGTGCGTATCGTAGAAGGAAATGAACTAAAATTGCACCGACCTTGCTTGTGCTGAAAACGATCGTAAAACGATCGTGACATGTATGTCGGCTATGACACGACCAGGACAGTGAAAGATGAAGAGCTCCTAAAGGCCATAATTCTGTAAACAGTGTATGTATTTACATGACTAGCCAAAGTGTATGTTGCTGTCGTTTACTAGCTATACGGTTGTCATGCGCTGTCTAAGATGAGACTAGCTATGCCATATGACTACAGCTTCCTTGACGTTATTAACGCCTGTAACAATTATAGCACATGTATGATGTATTGTCATTACTGCCCATCGGCGAAATAAAATAGACAGATTTTTTGCAAGTTAAGAGATCTTGATTCTTGTATTAACTGTTCGCGGCATTAACACGGTATTCGATACTTTCATTGGATTCCTTGTCCCTGAAAACATAGGATTAGCATATTTTAAAAAGTTTTTAGGGTGATTAGAGGCAGAAATACGGCCAAATATGTATTTTATAGCGGCCATTTTGAAAATTCAAAATGGCGGCCATGCCGGTATCTCCGCAAATGTAAACATTGTTTTTCGAATTCCTCATGTTATAACCTTTCCAAAAATGCATAGGTTTGCTAATCTACCATAATTCTGAACGAAATTAAATTTATTGACATAGTGAACCTGACTAACTGTTCAGGTTGAGAAATTTGTTCGTTTCACTTGAGGTGTGCACGTCAATAGAACAAAATTTCATATATCTCATTCACTGATTATTAAATTTGTGCACGCATCAGCACCAAGTAACACTGACATGCAAATCTGCACGAAGGTGGACAAAGCGTAAATTGCTGCTGCCAACCCAGGAGCCTAATAATTAATTAAATAATTAATTATTAATCGTTCCCTAGACATTTTTATGATCTGACGAGATTTCGATCTTATTCTATAGGATCTAGAGTCAAATTATAAAAAATTTATAGGGTACAGTTTATTAGTATACCACGAACCAGGATTTGATGGTGACAGTGTAAATGCTATCGTACTTATTCAGTAACAATGATTGCAGGTATCTAACGACGAAGGAATGGAGTCAGTTCTACGGAGGCCATAAAACGAGACCGGGGAAGGATAAATCGGACTTCAAACGTCTGCCGTTCGATTGCTGCAGGTGTGGTCCGATGGTCCGGTGATTTACGCGCGGGCTACGTCCTTGCATGAGTTTGCGTGATCGCTTTAGCGATGAAAGCTTTTTGATGCACGTCGGCCCCTCGCACGCGAGTATTACGTGATCTTTAACGTTTGCTTCCGGAGGCTGTAGCAGTCGGCGGTCGCTTGTGTGAGGTGTCTGGTGCACGTCTGTCTCGACGTGGCGACATTTGTATCTACTGCAAATCCATTTACATCAGTAGTGCATTTGAGATTTATATACAAGAGATGCAATGACGTTGATTGTTAGAGTCTTGTGCGCTGTAGATCAAACATGCTACAGACGAGAGAAATAGATGAGTGACTAACAAATGATTGTAGTATAGGTATGTTGATTTTTTTTCTTTTGCAGCCTGTCATTTCAACCCGTGGAACACCCACTCTGCACTCCAGATGGTGTTGTTTTTGATCTCATGTACGTATATCCGTCGTATAGCATTCGTACTCGTTGCATTTAATGTAGAACAGTATTCAGTTATAGCTGTGTCGTGTTTCGTAAATCGAATCGGTAATAGTCCTCATGCCGCGCTTGGTGTTAGCAAGTAGCTTGTGGTTAATTTACTCGGCAAATACTCTATGGTTAGCTAGTGTGGGAGACTTTAACCTCGTAACCCATACAGCTAGTTAGTTCATAGATCGTGGCCGAGTGCAGAAGAGGGCAGACGATGACGACGACAAAACGTGATGGTAAAATTCGGAATTGACTCGGAATTTCTCATCCGCGAGTTTTGGATTTCTGTTTTTGCGCAGGAACATTGTTCCGTACCTGAAGCAGCACGGTCACAACCCGATCACCGGAGAGCCACTGGATGCCAAAAGTCTGATAAAGCTAACCTTCCACAAGAACAATGACGGTCAGTACAGCCAGTGTTGGAAACAGCAGTCCATCTCTTGCCTCCCTTCCTTCCCTCCCCTCTCCCCCAGGTCTGGGACCAGTAATTCTTGAGCAGGACTGACTGGTTTTTTTTATGGGGTTTACTATTGGTTATACTGCAGAAATCGTAATTTTTCCGAAACCGGTATTTCTTCGACAGCGTCTTGACGCGTACGTATGCCGGTGTTGCTTTACACCGGGTTAAAACGCGTGACCGATGTCCAAGGCAATAAACCGCAGCAGTATACCTATATTTAGACGTATATCCATGTGAATATTCCCCCTTTCCCACCTGACAGGTGTGTTTGTTCTACAAGTAAGTACCACTGTCCCGTCGCATATCGCGTGTTAACACGATAACGTCTCCTTCCACGTAACAGGTGCGTTTGTTCCACAGGTAAGTACCATTGTCCCGTCATGTACCGCGTGTTCACGGAGAACTCTCACATCGTAGCAATTCGAACAACGGGGAACGTGTTCAGCATGGAGGCGGTCGAACAACTGAACATCAAGACGAAGAACTTGATGGACCTTCTATCGAGCGAACCGTTCACGCGCAAAGACATCATTACCATACAGGTAGATGTAAACATTCATACAGGGGCTGTGTTGTCAGAAAGTTTAAAATAAATAAATAAAAATAAATTATATAAATATAAATTAATTATAATATAATAATATAATATAATATAAATTAGTCTTAACATTAGCTTTTTCTCGTAGGCCGTTGACAGAAACACCGTAAAGTTACGATTTTCCCACACGCAATCAGGGGTTAATAATGACAATGACATTTGTCATTATTAACCCATGACACAATGTATAGTGGCTGGGTCTATAAGTCACCTACTACTGGTTAATGTTAGGTCTAATGTTAAGGTTATATAATATATTTATTATATAATTGAGTGTATTCGGTTGCCATGTTTTCATGTCGTTGCAGGACCCTCACAGCCTGGATAAGTTTGACATATCCAAGTTTCACCACGTGCAGAAGAATTTGAAGGTATCCGATCCAGGTACGTGCTTCTCTCTCTCTCTCTCTTTCTCTTTCTCGTTCCCCCTATCTCTATCTCTCACACACCCTCTCTCTTACACACCCTCTCTCTCACACACCCTCTCCATCACTCTCTCTCACACACCCTCTCTCTCACACACCCTCTCTCACACACACCCTCTCTCTCACAGACACGCCCTCTCTCTCACACACACACCCTCTCACACACACACACCCTCTCTCTCTCATACACACCCTCTCTCTCTCTCACACACCCCCTCTCTTACACACACACACCCTCTCTCTTACACACACACCCTCCTCTCTCTTACACACTCTCCTCTCTCTTACACACACACCTCTCTCTCTCACACACACCCTCTCTCTCTCTCACACACACCCTCTCTCTCACACACACCCTCTCTCTCACACACACACCCTCTCTCTCTCACACACACACCCTCTCTTACACACACCCTCTCTCTCTCTCTCACACACAACCTTTCTCTCTCTCACCAACACACCCTCTCTCTTCTCTCTCTCGTCGCTCTACTCACACACACCTCTCTCTCCACTCTCTTCTCTCGCTGCTCTGTCACACACACCGACCCTCTCTCTCTGCTCTCTTTTACCGCATTTCTCTTGGCTCTGCACACACACACACCCTCTCTCTACACACAACACCTCTCTCTCTCACACACACCTCTCTCTCTCTCTCGAAGCACACACCCTCTCTCACACACACCCTTCTCTCTCTCACACACGACACACATCCTACTCTCTTCTCAACACACACACCCTCTCTTACAGCACGGCTCTCTCTCTTCTCTCATCGCACAAACCTTCTCTCTCTTCACACACGCCTCTCTCCTCACACCACCCTCTCTCTCTCTCTCCATCGCTCTCTTCACACACACCTTCTCTCACACACACCCCCCTCTCTTTCTCTCTCTTTTACCCTTTCTCTTGCTCTCACACACACACACCTCTCTCTCTCTCACTCTCTCTTTCTCTTCTCGCTGTATCTCACTCTCTCCCTCTCTCTATCTATCTCTGTCTCTCGCCGCTCTCCTTCTCATGCTCGAGTGATGTGTGTTACAGACGAGGAGAGAGCGAAGAAGAACCCTCAGTACCACCTCAAGTACATCAGTGTCGAGGCGAGAGAAACGCTAAGCGAACTCAGCGCCACCTACACAGCACCGGTGAGTGTCCATGAAACACTAGAACGTCCGTAAATCGCAGGATTGGGTAGTTAGCCAGTATCAATCGGGAGTAAGGTGATAGCATTCGTAGAGAGAGGTGCATGTTTAGTCTGGTAAACATACCAGGCTGCCGTGAGTGTTCGTGAAACACTAGAATCAGTACTAAGGTTGTAGGTTGTGTGGAGCCGGTCATATAATACTAATATATATATTATTTATATATTTTTTATACATTTATAAATTATAAAAATATATATATTATTTATATATTTATAAATTATGGAAAAAAAAATAAAAAATAAAAAAATAATAAAAAAATAAAAAAATAAAATAATAAAAAAATAATAAAATATAATATAATAATAAATGGTCAGGTAATGATACAAGGCTCTGGTGAGTGTCAGCGAAACACTAGAATGAGGAGTAAGGTTTGCGGAGAGTCGTGCGTTTAATCGGGTGAAGATGCAGGGTTCTGGTATGTGTCTGTGGAACAGTGGTAGCATGTGTGTGGTGGTTGGTTACATGGAGTAGGGTTACACGATTAATCGCTCACCGTAACTGTGCGACGTGTGATGCAATCGACCCGTTTCTTCTGAGCAAGATAACTACACCCTCCGCCCCTTTGTTGTTGCTGCTTGGTCCGTCACGCATGAGCAGTTCACACGTTTTTTAACGCACGCACGCCAAATCGTCGACAAATCTTCACTTTGTTGCCGAGCATTGTTTTTTAGAATGTCCCACCGCAACACATACTGGAGAGAGCTACCTGTCAATCATACAATGCGGACAGGTCATTCACGGAGTAGGAAACACTGCTGCAATTTAAGGAGGTAGAAGTTCGTTTGATGTGATGATCATGATATGCTTTCATAACTGATTTCAGGCTGTGCAAGAAGAGGTTGTGCAAGTCGCCGACACATTGAACGCTGTAAGTACAGTACTATCGTTGTTGTGCTGTTATAAGATTCTGTATTTTGTAGTTTATTGATGCAGCTAAAATGATAAATAATAGTGTTATTAATTTGTGTATTTCACATTTGTAATTCACATCAGGTAGTAGTTGGTGCAGGAGACGTATTTGTACAGAAAATATTTTCTATTTTCCTCATTATTATTATTATTATTATTATTATTAATAATAATAATATTCTATGTATATGTATTATATTATTTTACTAGTACCTGATAGTATTTGGTGCTGATGTATTATTATGGATAATATTTTCTTGTTTTCTTCCTTATATGCAGAAAAATAATAACGTAAAACAACAATATTGTAATCTACATCTGATAGTAGTTTGTGGAGGAGACGTATTTGTACGGGTGACGTTCTATTGTTTCCAGGCTCATTACTCGACGGGGGCGGTTGCCGCGGGTTTTACGTCAACGACCATGGATCCTGAGACTCGCCACAGTGCTGGTGAGTCTCTATATAGTAGGAAGAAATTCTTCCCCTTTTCTTCCTCATCCCATCCCTCCCTTTCCCGTTATTATACGAACATGGATCCCCCAATGAGTAGCTATAGAATAGCAAGATGTCTTCCCCCATCTTCCTCATCCCATCCCATCTCATCCCTCCCTCTCCCGTCTTTATACGAACATGGATTCCCCCCTGATAAGCCGCTATAGAGTAGCAATAAGTCTCCCCCTCCCCCTACTCCCTCACCCCATCCTCTCCCTCTCTTTCTTACACATCTCTTTCTCTCTCGTCTCTCTCTCTCTCTCTCTCTCTCTCTCTCTCTCTCTCTCTCTCTCTCTCTCTCTCTCTCTATCTCCTCACGGTGTGACGTTGTCTTCGTTGTTTCAGCGATCGTGGATGAGGATGTTGTGAGGTATGCTCGCGTGAAGAAGAAATCTCCACCTCCTTCCTCGCCCCATCTCTCTCTATCATCTCTCTCCCTCCCTCCTACACATCTCTCTCTCTCTCTATCTCTCTCTATCTCTCTCTCTCTCTCACACACTCTCTCTCTCTCTCTCTCTCTCTCTCTCTCTCTCTCTCTCTCTCTCTCTCTCTCTCTCTCT